ACCGCTTCATGCTTTTGTTCCTTCCTTTTCCACTGCTGGTGGTGAGGAGGGTTCTTTGGTGCATTGTTATTACCACGATTAGAGTTTCTTCCCCGACCACGGTCATAACCACGACTGGGGCCACGTCCTCTTCCATGCTTAGTTTGGTGGAAGTTCGTCTCATTCACTTCAGGGAATGGACAAGAACCAGTAGGTCGGCTTTCATGGTTTTTCATTAATAGCCCATTATGTTGCTCGGCTATAAGAAGATATGAGATAAGTTCAGAATACTTTTTAAATCTCATCTCTCGATATTGCTGCAGGAGCATATTCGAGGCATGAAAAGTGGTGAAAGTTTTTTCCAACATATCATGATCAGTAATATTATCACCACATAGTTTCAATTGGGAAATAATTCTGAACATAGCAGAATTATACTCACTGATAGATTTAAAATCTTGTAGCCTTAGATGAGTCCAATCATAACGTGCCTGTGGAAGAACGACCAACTTCAGGTGGTCATATCTATCTTTTAAATTATTCCACAGTATGACTGGATCTTTAACAGTAAGATATTTCATTTTCAGGCCCTCATCAAGGTGATGGCGTAGGAATATCATTGCTTTGGCGCGGTCTTGGTTTGATGCCTGATTTTTATCTTTGATGGTGTCTGCCAGACCCATCGCATCAAGATGAATTTCGGCATCAAGCACCCAAGACATGTAGCTTTTGCTCGATATATCCAGGGCTACAAACTCAAGTTTAGAAAGATTTGACATTATTTAGAAAAAGAAAGTTCGTACCTCTGATACTTTCAAAGTATTTTCTCGAGATGGCAGAGTCTCATGCTGATAACGTGTTATAAAATAAAAACTGTAAAGTAAAGATAAGTATAGAGAGAAACTAATATATTATTCAAACTTCAAACTTATGTACATAATAAACTGAAAACTCCTCTATTTATAGAAGAAAGGAAGCAGCTGCGAGACTTTTCAGGAAGCAGCTACAAAGCTTTTCTTTAGCTGCTTGTAAGTTGTCTGTATGAGCTACTTGCAACCTGCCTGTTTAATAAGAAGCTGCTGCAAATCATTTCATTGAGCTGCTTGCAACCTGCCTGCATCAGCTGCTTGTAGATAAACTTCAACAGAGTACTAAATGGATAATCTTCTTCAGGAAGATTATCTATAGCGAAGTAATAAATGAACATCCACAATATAATTATTTTCATAACAAAAGCAAATATAACTTCATTTTTTGCAAATTATTTCTACACCACCACCATTTTGGCAGTCTCGGGCTGAAATTGCCAATAGAGGCCGGGAAAGCTCCTATTCGGAACCAACAACGACACTCAATTGTCTGCTACTCTTTCCAACCTATTCAAAAGTCGTTTCTCAGAAACAGAAAAAAGCAAAACCTCAAAACCCAAAAACCACGAAACCCAGCTATTTCATTATTCCCATCTAAAACCCTTTCGCATACAATAAGCAAATCCAATGGCTTCTTCAATATGGATTTCCTCAAAAAATCCAATCTTTGACTCTTCTTCACTCTCTTTCACTTCTCAACTCCTCCAATTCCCCATTTCCAATACTAACCTAACAAACACAAATTCCCCTTGCCAATTCCGGAAAGTGCCCTCAATTCACTGCGGTAATATTCGTGAACTACGAGAAAGAATCGAGACTGTAAAAAACACTCAGAAAGTAACAGAAGCAATGAAACTAGTAGCAGCAGCCAAGATTCGCAGAGCCCAAGAAGCAGTCATTAGTAGCAGACCCTTTGCTGAAACACTCGTTGATATGTTGTACAACATAACCAAACAGGTTCAATTTGAAGATGATGTTGAAATTCCCTTAATGAATATTAGGCCTGTAAAGAAAGTTGCACTTGTTGTTATTACTGGTGAAAGAGGCCTTTGTGGGGGTTTTAACAATGGAATATTAAAAAAAGCAGAGACCCGTATTCAAGAATTGAAGAATCTTGGTATCGAATGTAGTGTGATTAGTGTTGGTAAAAAGGGTAATGCTTATTTTCGTCGAAGGAGGGATAAAATTTTTGTTGATAGGTTTGTTGAAGGAGAGAGTTTTCCTACAACAAAAAAGGCTCAGGTTATAGCTGATAATGTTTTTTCTTTGTTTGTTAGTGAAGAAGTTGATAAAGTAGAGCTTTTGTATACTAAATTTGTTTCATTGATTAAATCTGATCCAGTAATTCATACTTTGCTTCCAATTTCGTCGAAAGGAGAGGTTCTTGATGTGAATGGGAAAAGTGTTGATGTAGATGAAGATGAGTTCTTTAGGTTGACTACTAAGGAAGGGAAATTGATAGTTGAGAGAGATCATTTGAGGGTGAAAAGGGGGAATTATTTGTGTAATTTAGAGTTTGAGCAAGATCCTGCTCAGATTCTTGATGCTTTGATGCCGCTCTATTTGAATAGCCAGATTTTGAGAGCACTTCGAGAGTCATTTGCAAGTGAGCTTGCTGCTAGGATGAATGCAATGAGTAATGCCACGGATAATGCAGTTGAGTTGAAGAGGAATCTTTCGATTGCATATAGTCGGGAAAGGCAGGCGAAGATCACTGGCGAGATATTGGAGATTGTTGCTGGAGCAGATGCACTTACGTAGCTGCACTGAATCTGGTATCTGCATTCCTCATTGTTTTTAATTTGGATATCCTTAATTTCATTTTCATTGACTTCTTTTATGAAGAGAACAAGCTCGTCAGAGGCTGATGGTATACCGCAATTTTCTCCCAGCCAAACATGGGATTAATAAACTCTTCTTAAATTTAATCCCGGGATTAATTATTCCTTATACCTCGTACCAAACGAGCCCTAAGGATTCTCTTGAACCATAAAACGAGATGAATCTCTTCTTTCATGAACGATTAAGCTTTTTGACTCCCGTTTTCGCTCTGAATGACTCCTTTCTTAGTTGACTGGAAGAAGATTCTTCAGTAGCAACAAGTAATTCTCTCTTTTTCCCCTTTTCCTAGTTTTCTACTGTTTCCTTAGGGTGGTTTAGGGAAGCTTGTAAGTGTAGACATCAAGGTCACAGAAGTTAGCATATGAGTTCCCAGGAGTGGTAAACGTTTACTGGCTGTAGACAAAGATGCAGAAATTTCTTTGTGCAGGGAAATAGGTTGCTAAGGCTTTGTCCTCTTCCAGAGTTTCGCATGTGATTTGGTGGATTGAGATATTTAGAATTAAGAACATTCAGCTTATGCTATTGTTGGTGGAACTGTATCTCATTGCTTTGAGTCTGGAGCACTTTAGATTGATAATCCTACTTTCCGTGATGTAGAAAACAATGTTTGTAACTATTGCCTTATTCGTTATATCGGATCCCAGTCTCCTTTTGATTAAATCCGTTCCAGCGTGTCTTAAAGAAGAGTAAATGCTGCAACTTTATTTATTCATCTCTTTCTTTGCATTTCTACAAATTGAGTCTGCTTACGGCTAATGCTTATATAATTGTTAGTGAAAAGGAAATTATCATGAAAATGAATCCTTTTTGGCATGTATATAGGATCTGCACTGTCCTTGTTTGCTTCTCCTCTTGATTTGAAGTATCCGTTTTTGACGGCACTATTAATTATATCAAGTTTAATCAGTTGATTACTCAGTTTATTGCAAGCAACAAACTGTTTTCTGTTTCTGAGGTATCTACAATTTACTTAGGATTATCTTTGCGACTTGCGATCTTTATAAGTGTAGTCTGTAGAGATGATGGTCAGAGAGATGAGCATTGGAGTCTCTGGGAGAAGTATACGTTACTAGCTGTAGGCATATGGAAAATTTGAGAAGAAAGGTTCCCTAAATAAGCGATTTTGTTTGATGCCAGTGTACTCTATATCACATGATTCAGGGTATTTGATATTAAGAAAATGCAGCTTTTGTTGTTAGCTGTGGAATTATATTCATTGCCTTAAATCTGGAGCAGTTTAGGTTTATAATCCTTCTTTTGTGATGATGAAAACAATGTGTCAAGCTGTTACCTTATTGGTTATACTGAATCCCGGTCTTGATTTGCTTAAATTATTTCCAGTATCAGTATTTGGATGTCCTATTGGAACTATCTTTATTTCAACTTTTGGAATTGGATGCACTATTTCACTTCTCACAGCTTTTATCAATAGTGAGGTGGGACTGAGCAATTAATTATGTACAGAGATGTTTATTCAATATGAATTACTGTCCTCAAAATTTTTGGCAGATGTTTTGTGGTACTTTTGTCTCCACAAGACTGAGATTTACAAGTTCAATTCATTAACTGTGGGGCAGCAAAGGCATTAATCATATACATTTTTCATTCACTTAATTATAACCGTGTGGCTCAGTGGTCAATGAAGTGAGTTGAGAATTATGAGGTATTAGGTTAAAATCTTAGTAGGCATTTGAATATAAAAATTGTAATTTTCAAAAAAAGTAGTATTTGGAGTTAAGTTGAAAAATGATATTTGAAATTTGAAATTATGTTTGGACATGCATTTCACTTGAAAAATATTGCAGTTTTGTGAGGGGGAAACAAAGGACCCATTTGTGCATAATTTTTTTTTCTTTTTTTCGATTCTTTTTAAAAAAAAATGTATTTGTCCATGAAATTTTGCAAGTTTTTGGAAATTTTTTGAAAATGAGTTTTCCAAAAAGACCACTTTTTCAAATTTTCCACAAAACAATTTCCCCACTCACGTAACTGTAATACTTTTTCAAGTGAAATACATGTCCAAACATAATTTCAAATACCTTTTTTCAACTTAACTTCAAATACTTTTTTTAAAAAATTATAATTTTTATGTCCAAACGCCTACAAAAAATTTTGAAATTTTTTAAAAAGCTGGTCACTTTTTGATTTTTGAAAAACTCTTTTCCGAAATGTTTTAAAAAACTCGTAAAATTTCTGGGACAAACATGATTTTGAAAAAACAAATTGGAAAAAATATCTCCGGGCAAACGGGTCCTTAGTAAAGAAAAGGCTTAGAATGCCGTACCTGCTTAACTCAAACCTTCAATTTATGGACGCGTGATGGAGATGCTCAGCCATTGTGGACAAAATATCTCTTCTTTAGCATTTTCCTTTCCACTCCTGTTAGCTTCTTCTTTTTTTTCCTTTAACTTTTTTTGCTAGAAATTCATAAATAGTACTCCCTCCATTCACTTTTAGTTGTCTACTTTTAATTTTACACTTTTTTTAAGAAAAAACAAATAAAATATATATTTTATAATTTTATCAAAAATAATGATAGTATTTTTAAAAATCTTAAGAAATAATTTGAGGAATGAGTAGTTAATGATAAAGGTAAAATATGAAAAAAAAAAATTGTCTTTCTCTTGATTTAGTATAGTGGACAAGGAGACTATGATATTTTTCCTCAGCGATCAACTTGTAGAGAAATCCAGACTAGAACTATTGATGATTCTATGTTAGCTCTAAAATAAGGAGACTTAAAAATATATTTTTATTATATTGGACAAATAAAAGTAAACAGATGGAGTACTAAAAAATAAAATGATAGATAAACATGAGTTCGTGATGGGATTGGAAAACTTATATCCAAGTGATGCTGATGCATAGGATTACAAGATTCCTGTTTCAGTCTTTACTTTTCCCCCCCTTTGAATAACATGTTTTTAGGTTCGTTACTGTTGCTTTCAGCTTCATCTTTGGTAGTAAATCATGTTGGAGCAGAGAGAGAAAGCAGCAAGGCGAGTTGTGACAATCTAACCACTTTGGACATGGTGACCCAACCCATTAAATAAACTACTCGTACTCTCCTGCAATAAGGAAGGTGTCATTTGAGTAAAAAAAAAACAGCTTTGTTTTAATTGTTCTCTTTCTTTTATCTTGGGAAAATGTCCAAATATACAATTGAACTATGCGAAATAAGCATTTATGCCTTATTCGATTAAAATCAGACGATTTTGTGGTGCTAATCATTTTCCATTAGGAAAAAAAGACAAGTATAGGTCAGTTTGGTAACGACATAGGCAATTTTAACCCCAACTATTAACTTGGGGGGGTGGGGGTGGCAAAGTAGACAATTTCTCATAGTTCAATGGCAAATTTGAACATTTGCTATGGAGAAAATAGTAAAAATAATTATAATTGAAAAGAGAACACACTTATTATCTTCTCCAGCCTAACACATCTGGCGTCCCTTACACAATCCTTGCGCCAGGATTTTGATTTGGTTAGGTACCTTTGCTAACCTAACACATCCCTTTTCACACTCCCTCGTTGTATTGTCTATTCTTAAATGTCTTACTACCATGTATTCTAGTAGAGAAGAAAGCCAATCATATTGTACATATCTGTTACAAAATAATTTAAAATAATGTACAAGATCTTAGTCATGTTGGAGTATAATTTTCACATAAAAGACTTCACATTAATATGTGGGAGTGAAATTCATAAATTATAATTCTTATATCTTATTATATTAGTCTCCACACAAGATATCCTCAACTTTAATCACTACAAAAGTTTAATCCAGTTCATGAGAATATTGTTTACTCGTAAAACGATATAATTGAATTTATACGTAGTTTTTAGACAAGTGAATTAATTTGATCTTGAAATAATGAAATAATTAAAGAAATACATAATACTTAGCCTTGAAATGATGATAAAATCATAAAGAACAATGATTTGGGAGCAGAGCTTCTGGGCACAACAGTGATAAAACCAAAGAACAAGAAAGTAAGATTGTATAAAGCTTTATATTGATTATAGCGTAAGTTTGCCAGGAAAATTGTCCCCCCTTACAATGATAACAAAGCTCACTATTTATAGGTGCACCTAGGGAACAAGGTCGTAGGATCACGCTCTTCTTTAATGTCAATTATGAGGGTCATTAAAGAAGATGTAACGGTGAGCATAAATTTTCTGTAACGGGCAGCACACTAAATGTTGTGGAATATTCTCCATTAAATACTACCGGACGGAGAGTATTTGTTGCATCTTTATGAACGCTATACTTTCCGATGACAAACGAGACAATTGCTTTCGGTTTTAGCTATCCCCTGTCTTAGGTTCCACGTATCCTTCTTTTTGGACGGTAACGTAGCATAACATATTTTATTCCATACAAATATATCCGCACAAGATGCTATAAGTGCTGTTGCAGTATTCTCGCAACTAGTGCAACTGTACTTACAATCCTTCCATCCCATTTTATATGAAAGTGTTCGACTTAATATAGAATTAAAGAAATTGCAGAAACTTTTGGCACGTAAGCAGAGTATATGCTAAGTCTATTCATTTTATCTCCTAGTAAAATAATAACGTTTATATTAAAGAATCCAGACAAATCATGTCATTAAGGGTGAATTGACATGCTAATAAGAGAAAGATGTTACTCGAACATACTAAAAAAAGAACGTTTTCACATAAAATAAGATAGAAAAAATAATTTATAATTGAATTATCTATGAGTTTTGCTAATCTACTACAATAGGTGTAGTACGTTAGCATTGTATGCATTTTTGCTTTCTCTTAAATACCCTTAATGAGACATTAACAACACATTAGTGAAATGGATAATTGGTCTTTTCCTCTCAAGAACTAAATGCAGCTCCTCTTTCTCCTTTCACTTCCTTTCGCCCATGTCTCCTCTAATCTGCAGTCACTTTCCACAACATGCATCTTCTTCCACCATCAATTCACTTAGTTACTATAAATAATAGGTTCTCTTTATATTTAGATACAAGGCTCATTTGAAGTTTTTGTATTGGAATAATACGGTCTCACCATGTGGCTTGTTAGTATAGTGAAATATAGCAAGAATGGTTCGGTACTTAGATGCATGAAAGTCAAAGCCAGGAGTGATGAAGAATCGTGATCGGGGTCGTCCATTCAAATCTAGAACGAGAGTGACCAAATGGGATTCACCAAGTATACATCCGGAACAGACCAGACATCTTTTGTGCCGAACATTGATATGTCCAAGATCTTCCTGAGATCACAAGCTCCGTCCGTTACACCGTATGTTAGGTTGAAAGCTTGTTAGCTATGGCGAAAATGGCGAAAGAAAACCCTAGAAGGGTTGAGAGAAGAAGAGAGATGCCAGTGAGTCAGTCAAAATTCAATTGACCAAACCTGATTTTCTTATTCTGTAGATACAGGTATTAAAAGAAAAAATAACTGTGAAAATAGTTACATGTTTTAAACTATAACAAATGGTGCTAAGAGTTATAAAAGGGCCTTCTTCTTTCCCTTATCCGAGTGGGCCTGTGATAATTGGGCCTGAGATGTATCTGGGCTAACACCCCCTCCCCCCAATTTTGAGGGTGAGAATACACCAAGCTTGCAAAGTAAACCATGATGAACTTAACCAGGAAGAGCTTTGGTCATGATGTCTGCCAACTGATTGGAGCTGGAAATAAAGTGCAAAGAAATCATACCAATCTGCAAGCAAGTACGCACATAATCACAGTCAATCTCAATATGTTTGGTACGCTCGTGAAAAATTAGGTTTTTGGCAATATGAAGAGCTGCCTGGTTGTCACAATAGATTAGAACTGGGCTGGAAATGGACAAACCAAGATCAAGTAGTAGTCGGAGCAACCAGGAAACCTCAGCTGAAACTTTGCGAAGTACTCTTTATTCAGCTTCAGCTGAGGACAAGGAGATAGTGGGTTGCTTCTTGCTTTTCCAAGAAATTGGGCTGCCACCGAGAGTAATATAATAGCCAGTGACAGATTTGCGAGAAATGGCACATGCAGCCCAATCAGAGTCAGAATATGCTGTGAGAGACAAATCAGATGAACTGGAGAGGAGCACCCCTTGAGCTGGGTCATTAAGTAAATGCCTGAGAACACATGCAAGGCTTCCAACATGTGGGGTATTTGAGGATTTTGAAGAAACTAACTTAAATGTTGAACTGAAAAAGGAGATATCAGGCCTA